GTCAAGAAATTATGTTGCTCTTACTTGGAGTTTGTGTTTACATCGCGAGGGGGCCGTTTAGACGCCTCGCTGATGGTTTGCATCAGCAGGAATTATTACCGCCGCCTCCTCCCTGTTAAAATTCAACAACACCCGCCTATATATTCATTAATTAGTATAGCTAGGTTTATATCTATTACAACAAAAATGTCCTTACTCCAAAGTAGATATTCGTATTACCCAAAATATACTATTTTTAGAATCGTCAGTCTGCTTATAACAGGTCAATTTTACATTTTTTCTTCTTGCATATTCCAGCAAAACAAATCAGCAAGAAAATTGATACTGTCAACGGCAAATTCGCAAATTCTTTTATTAAAATTTCTCACTTGATTCCTTGCATTTCCTTCCTCCAGGACCGGCTCTTCCGAATTTACAACCAGCTCTAATACATCCCCGCATCCCTCATACTCGATATATAACGCCGCTTTTGCTCGCCTAATAAATCAATTTGTTTGTTACGAACAGCGAGTTCTAAATGCAGTAATTCCTGCGGTGGGAAATTGGATGATACGTCTCTGCGCGCCACTGAAGCAATCTCGTGACGAGATACTCGTAAATCGCTGAAGGAGGCACAAAATTTATTACCAATTCCCAGTGGCGTATGGTTAATAAGGGTGCAAGGTCAGCCGTTCCGAAAGTCTTAAAGAATCTGGGTCAGGCGCTGATTGATGGGCGCGGACGTCCGGAATATATTTTCCCCCGGCGGGGCGAAAGTAATTTTACAACTGCGAATTAATTCGTCAACGGCGAGATTTCCGCCCGATCGGACGTGCATCCGTCATTTCGCAGGGAAACTAACTTACATTGTTACAATATAACTAGGTTTAGGAGACGACGAATGTTCTTTACGGCTCAGCTAGCGCCGGGAATTTATTAATTCTGGTGCCTGGCGCGTCGCAGGATTATATTCGTTCCTCCGGAAGTTCCGGCTGGATATTTCGAATATCTGGCAGCCTTACCGCGTTTGAAGTTATACCCAGCTATCTCTCCGAAACGCGAAGTTTAATTGTTCTCCCGAGTTTTTTATCTCCAGGTGGATCCTCTGCGAGATTTTTACGACCCGACTAAAAGAATCGCTACAAATTATCTAATTAGAAGCTTTATTACTTTTAGCAATGTCGCTTCGTGTTGATTTCGAATCGGCTTAGTAAATATGCAGGGTGTTCTTGAACTGGATTTTCAAACAATAGCTCGAGAGAAATATTAGTTTAGCTATTCGGCGTTTCTTAAACAACCCCGAATAGACGGTAAGTATAAGACGCCCATGTACTATTTCGGTTCTATTCCAGGCCAACGGGTTTCCAGTTGAATCCGTTTAGCGAGCGGACATGGAATTGGACACACGCGGACACACAGCAATTACCTCGAATTGCTCTGCCGGATTCGTGCATTTAGGAATCTATCCCCGATGCCGGTCGACCGGTCTCCGTATACCTATCGTTCGGTAAAATATTCCGAATTAACCATTCGGATCCGGACGGGCTTATATGGTGGAAAAATAACCCCTGAGAGATTACGCCGCGCAATTGCTTGTGTTGCTTTTTTGCCTTCGGACCGAGCGGATTGCATATTTTTATAGGGAAGGTTCCGGGGTATCGTTCGCTTGGGTTTTATATTCGAGTTTAAAGTGAGCCTTATCGGGAATTTAATGCGCTAGATTCGACTAGACTACTACTTTAATTTAATCACTTAATTGAATAATCTTAAAAAAAAACTCGCTTATTTTTTCCGGTGTAATTAGTAATGTTGAACATTAGAGTTAACCTGCTGTAATTTTTCCACGGCGGTCGTAAATCAACAAAGAAAAGCAATTAATTTAAAAGTTGGAGGCCGGAAGTTTTTTCTTCGGTTTTGAATCCGTGATGTATAGTACATTTGTTTAAATGGAACAAACTCTTAAGGGAGCTAGGTGAATAAATCGCGCGTTTAATTCGTTTCGATGCGGAATAGGAACTTTAAAAAAACGATTAATTGACTTAACACCGACCTGTGAGAGTACGAAACATGCCGAAAAAAAGTTGTCTAATTATCCGGAATATTTCACCCCATTCTCCTTTCTTCCTCGCAGGTCAGTAATCACCCTATCTAAAAAGTTTACGACCGCTTTAATTGCGGTTAAACCGAGCATTTATTACATGACGTTTTCAAAAAAATTACACCCCAACTCAGTACCCATTTCATATTGCATTCCCTTGCAAATAATGTTTATGACACGGTGAATGAGGAGAGAGGGCGAAAGCGCCGGAGAATAAAACTAAAGGTATTATCAGAGGAGAAAAGACTACAAGTCTGCGAAAGACAAATAACATCGAGCCCGTCGGGATGCGAAATGGAGACAATTGCAGCAGTTTCGAACCTTAAATTGCGTTAAGACTTTGTTAAATTTCACGAAAACCGTCTCTTATCAAAACTTCTTTTTGCGAGGGGATTATCTCGGTTTATTTAATACCAGTCGTTTCAAACTTTAACTCGAATTGAATAGAATCTGAAATTAAACGATCACTTCATTAGCTAATCAGTAAATTAGTTGGAAAAAAGGCGAGTTTGATTCAATTTGATTCAATAGAATTCTTCGCTGGATAAAACAATAAATGTATGCTTGTATATGAGGACATGTGGAAAACAAAGAGCAGTAAAGCGAATTGCAGTAGAATATAATAAAATCTATAAAACGTACAAAATAAAGTAACTTCCGGGGACTAAATTTTGCGAGACACCAGCCAAATTGTATAATTCAATTTATACCCCTTTTCACTTCCGTCCCGCCTCCGGAAAATAAACTTATGTTTCTGTGTGTTCAGCTTTACACACACACACATATGTATAAATATACGGACTTTTCCTACAATATTATTGCAAACATGCATTCAAAGCAGGAGATATAACGTTTCAATAAAAATACTGGGAATAAATAAATATTTACGTTTCACGTTTCCGAGGAGTGGCGCACCGGAATATAAGATATACCGAATCTGGTCTTTGGTTTTACGGCTTTTTTAAGCTTTTATTAAAATTATTATTCGGAATTTACGATACTCGTAACATCACCAACTCGAATAAATAAGAATAGTACAAATCCCTCGGTTATTCTATAGACTCCATACTCCAGAAATTACCATTATTATTTTTCGTAATAAAGCAATTATTACAACTTCACGTGCTAAACTTGCGCAATTAGCGGGAAATGTACGTCGAGAAGTTGGGTATTCGTACCCGGTAATGGTATTCTAATCGCAGGTAAGTTTATTTCTCGGAGTATATTAGATCCCGACCGGGCTAACAGTAAGTAATCATATCATATTAGTAACAATAAAATCCCGTGATTAACAATCGTCAAGGGACGTTCTAATGCGACTTTAATAGTTTCGAATAGGGCACAACTACGAATTCGAAGGGACAAATCCACAGTGGCGTTGTGAAGGGTTAATTAAGGACATTTTTTTCTATAATTTGCTTAATTAAGTTAACGACACGCTAAGCATATTTATTTTTTATAATTAAATTAGAATCATCAACAAATAAATGCATATAAAAATAACCATCATCCAGAATAACAAGGAATTTCCGAGCATATCGGATTGAATGATAGCAGGTGGGGGATCCCAGCCGAGTATCTAAACTCGATAACGATTAGTAGCATGATAAATTCGCATTTGCACATGGTTTTGATTATAGAATGCGATATCGAAAGCACTTTAACGTTAATTGAGGATGCGGGAGGAAAGCCGAGACTTTACGATCCGGTCAATTCGGAGAGAATTTCATTGCTGGAACGTGGTTATCGCCCAACGTGCACAGTACATGGGCCCAACCGGCCATCTTTCTAATCGATTCTTTCGTTTTATAACTAATTTTTTAGTTGACACGCAGGTTAAAGACCACTCGATGTTCTCTACAGTTCTTAAACAATGTTTAATTTATGCGACTGTATAATGTTTTGTGAATAATCTATTTGTATAGTAAATAATATTCGGTACAAAGAGAATTGTTTGTTCTTTTGTAGAGAATGTTGGTGTTTAGTAATTAGGAGCAATGCAGTGGCAAACGTCGGAGACAATGACGTTCGAGCATCTGGAAGAGAATGCATCCTTACCTCTCCTAATTAAGAACAGCTAGCGAGATATTAATCACCGAACTGTCAAACTTAGAGACGGGCGCTCGTTCGGCGCAAAGGATATATACATTCGCGCCCGTCTTCGCCATTTCGCGAAAGGGGAAAACCCGGCGAAAAGGGCGACAGCCGGGGCGGAGATCATTTTAGCGACAAGGTAAATAACAAACAAGATGCCGCTTCATTATTTTTATCACTCGTAAAACGAACGAACAAACTTTTCGTCTCTCTATGGCATAGCGGCGAAGTGGCGCGAACTTGCCGGAGTTTTATTACCGTTGTCAATCTTCCGGCGGGCGACTTCCTGTAACAATGCTAATTCGTATATGGTAGAGTTAGTGCAACGCAATTATTAACAAGCTTCATATCGGAGCATAAAAGCTTATGAGCGAAGTTTAACATAAGTATTTCGGCTGTCTCTGTACGAAATAATAATCTGTCGAACTTCCTGCCATTTATTTTCGGCTCTATTTCAGTTGCTCTAACGGTTTTTGTTTAATTAAGGCGATTTTAACAAAGTCCGCAAATCACAAGCGCATCAAAATTAAACAACACACTCCACTGAAACATATCCAATCTATCGTTTACAATTTATTTGATTCTAATTAGATTCTTAATTCGATTTCGCTACGACCCTGATTAGAACTAACGTGAAGCATCGGCGTGTTACATTATACCCTTATAATCTAATTACTCGCTAATTTCTTAACGTACCTTCGGTTTACATAATTCGATAATGACGCGACTCGGACGTCGTTAAATTATATCAAACGATTCCCGTATTCGATTAAAAGCCGCCCAGACGCACTCTTGCCGAGAAAAATCCGCCGCCCGAAAGGTTGTAGGATTAAAACAAATCAGCCGGTAGAGACGGATTCAAACAAACCTCCACTAAACCGTTCCCGTGAGTGAACGTAACGGGTTCTTTTTTGAAGTAATCCACGAAGGCTCTCAAGGTCCCGAACTCCGGGGAGACGCTGCTGGCGTCGGCGTTCAATCGAATCTTGTTGGTGGACGTGCGTTCGATGCCCAAATTGTAGAATCTATTCTCCGCCTTGAGCGTCAGCACCAGGAAGTAGCGCTCGCTGGGCCGGAAGAGGAAGGAGCCGCTGGGAAGGGCGCGCAGCAATTGCTTGGCGCCTTTTCTGTCCGTGTTCCTGTAGAATCTCTCGTTGTTGATGTTGACTGCAAGTAGAATTTCAATTAATAATACTTATTTCCCAAATTTTTAGTATAACTCACAAATGGAATCGACGTAGACCTCCTGCTCCTCTTCGTCTTCCACGTTATCATCATCCTCGCCTTCATCTTCGTTGTTGTCGTCTTCAACGTTATTATCGGTGTCTTCTGGTTCTTCTTCCTCATCATCAACGTTTCCGTAAATAGGTTGGTGGTCTTCTTCTGGTTCATCTTTAACGGAATCATCATCGATGTTGTTGTAAACTGGTTGATCGTCGTCGGTATCTTGTATCGCCGGGATAAAAGCGCTTGCTCGAACTTTGAGTTTCTCCGACAGTTGGGCAGCTAATTCGTCCGTTAGAATCGGTAGAGGTGAAAGTGAATTTTGTCTGGAAGTCGAAGTTTTCAACGGTTTTCTGTTTTCGTACACCAGAAGATCTAGGAGGATCGAAATAGTAAGGTTTGCGAAGAAAGAAATGTTTTTTGGTAACGTACCTTCATCTTCTTTATTAACTTTAACGAGGCTCTTGTTTCTTATTGATTGTAAGCGTTTTATATCGTTAATAACTTTATCTTCGGTGGGTCTTTCGGGTTGGCTTCTCGGCGATCTTCTCCCTTTGTCTTGGACTGGCAACGGAGGTTCATCTTCGGGTTCCCTTCGATGCAGGGAGATTCTTTTCCTCGGTTTTTCGGTTATTATATCGCGTTTTTTGTTCAGAGTCGATGGAATATCGGGCAAGGGTCGGTTTCGGACGGATTCCGGCAATTCGAAGCCGGGCATTTCGCTCCTCAGCATGTGGTTTTCGTAGTTCGACGAGTTGGCTCTGGTCGATTTGGATTTGAGGGTGAAGAATTTGTTGATTTTCCCCAAAAAGTTGACCGGACGCTTGGACTCGTCCTCGTCGACGATGATTATGTTAGTTAAATCGTTCACCGTGTATTTTTTGCCGGTTTGAGATAGTTCTTCGTTGATTTCCGCTTCGGTTTCCTCTACGTCGATGTTCTAAAATTGGAAATTAACACACTCCGTTCGCTATTAGATAATAAACAAAAAATAAACTGCTGCGAAAACTCACCAAATATCCTCCGATCGTTCTGATATTGTTTTTCAAGTTTTTCATTTTTTGGTTGGGTTCATCATCTTCTACCCTTGGTATAGGAATGGGTGCCCGGGTCGCTATACTAACTGGTTTTGTTTGTGATATATTTCTAGCTCGTCTGTTATCATCAGGGGCAGGTTCGTAAGTGTTTTCCGGTTCGTTTTCTTCTTCATTGAAGTCATTAGGTTCGAGGTATTCCTCGTTGGGAGGTTCTTTATCATATGTATTTTCCAAATCTTCGTAATCAACGTCGTCGAGTGTCTCTGGAGCGATTGCTGGTGGTTTCCGGATGGATTTACCGAGAGTTTCGTTCTTATGAGTCGCTTGTGGTGGTAAATGCATTTTAGGTTTGGGTTTAATCTCTTCATGATTTGTAGTAGGTAGTTGTTGAGGTGGTTTTAATGGTTGTTTGACTTGTAGTGGTCTTGTTGGTAGAATTGGTTTTTGGGTTACTGGTAGATTAGGTTTCGGTTTGTTGATAGGTTGTTTCTTGAACAAAATATACGGATCTTCTTTGATGCTTCTTATAAACGCGAACAGTCTCTTATTTTGGGCCGGTGATAATTTCCAACTGATCGTTTGGAATTCCGATAAGTCCTTAAAATTATTTTATTATCACATTCGAATTGCGAATATTTTTAAATTGACTCACCAGTAGCTGTTTTCCGTCTAAGTGTTTGCTTTGAACGATACCGGCGATATCTTCGTGGTTATTCTGTAATTAATGAAAATTAATGAATTGAAAAAGTAATGAAAATCGTAATACTCACGGTTTTCAATAAACTCAACAAACTCGGCTCGTCAAGAAGTAACACTTTGTTCAGCGACATTTTTCATTTCACGAACTGAAACGACGACAACGCCAAATGATGATAAATATTTTATCTGTATTGTTCCTCCAGTTCGAAATAAAATTATTTAAGCAACTTTTTTGATAACATGTAGTTATTCGAGCGTGTGCGTATTTAGTAAAATCCCTCGTTATCAATGATGTAGAGGAAACCGCGAATGCCAGATATTCTCGTTTACACAGAAATGTATTTTAATTTTTTTAAAGTTTTCTGATTGTAGTAAATCACCGTGGAAACGTCCCATAGAAAAATTATACTTATCCCTATTTTCTAGCACAATAGAAGCTTCTACCCTTGATCTTAATTAAATATCAGAAGGTCCTTCCATATATCACGTACTGCATTCTCTCCAGACGGTGTCAAATCCTCGCCGATAGTAAAGGAAGAGGTAATAAAGGCCGGTACGCGGCCCGCGACCTTTTTACCCTGCTCCTTTATCTGCCTTACAAACGCGAAGAGGAAAAAGGATCCCCGCACAATCGCGCCGAATTTATTGGATTCCCCTCTAAATTAAACCGGTCTAAGCATTAATTTCAACACCTGTTGGGAAACAACCGACGAATGTTCCCCCGGAAGACGCGCAGAAGAGAAAAAAACCCACCACTGACTTTCCAAGTATATACATTTCCCCCGTAAAGTGGAATCGAGCGCGTGACACTGATTGATGTAAGGATCGGAGATAAATTAGATCGGTCGCTGACGATAACACGGTGCATGATGAATTCCCCGAGATGTAGCCCGAAAGATTACGCTCACGAGCCGGCTTCGAACAGGTCCGGAGGGAGGCCCCAGACTACTCGACGCCGGTCCCCCCGGCCTCCTAACCTAAAGGGGACACTTTTAATGATTGCACCCTGCACGTGGATCATTTCATTTCTCGCGCAAAAATTATTTACCCACCAACATTACATACCAAATACGTTGTAAAATGCATGTACAGTATGTATGTAATGCATTCTGCACTTGTAAGTATACTGTATAATGCATATGTAATGTATAATTTATGAATTAGGTAAATGGAATGGAATTAAAGTGTAAATTTGGGTGCGACAATGAGGGATAACGGGATCCGGGTGGTTGTCAAAAAGGACTTAAAGGGAATCCTTCCTATTTCCGTTTCCTCTTCGACGCCTCGTATACAACACGTTGTTTGAATTTTAAATTCGTTCGAAATATAGAATGACTAGATTTACATTTATGGCTTTTTTTTTGTTAGGCGTTCTCCTCTGCCAGATTGATTACAACGGTGTATAATGGCAGCCTCTTTGAAATTCCGATCGGAAAGTGAATTAGCGTCAAATGGAAAGCAGTTGATGAAAAATGCGGGAGATAAATAACGAGGTCCTGTTTTTTTTAGACGAGCGCGAGGGCGACGGGAATTTTCTTTCTTATTATAAAATTGCTGCTTCGATATCGGAATCATAAATCACAATAAGATCGAAACATCGACACCGAACACAATAAAAAAAGTTACAGTAATCGAGGAAACGATGATGAATTAATTTAAAATCAATCAATCAATTAGGTACATCTCCCTTGCTTATCCGACAGAAATTATATTTACAACTCTAGCAGATATGAGTGAAAAAAACAACGGGAAAGTTTCCAACTGATTTCCCGACTGAATCCCTAATTAACAGGCCCGTCAACGAAAGAAACTGGCGCTGATTTAATTACGATCCCTTTTTTAAAAAACGCAATTATAACGCCGGAGGATAATTAGCGAGCGAGAGAGAATTTCATTGTAAAAAATGGGTTCGATGTTCGCCCATTCAAAAGTGCATTCGTCTGTATGCGACTCCAAATAATGCAAAACCGAGGGAATTTAGTCGAATGAGAGCCCCGAGCGGAGCGCCGGTTTCCTCGTTAATTTGTGCATGTCGGAGGAATTACAGGATGTTACAGAGGCGGCATCGAGATTAGTAACGATAGGAGTTGTAATCAAGGTAAGAAATACACCGAGGAATAGATACATACTTGTCGCATTTAGCGAAATTGTTCCGTTTAATTTTGGAAATGGGTTCTCGACTGTCGATAAGTAGTTTTAGTTAACAGTTTAGGTTTAATATCTTCGGGACAATTCGAATGCATCTCAATTCGAGCGATTATTAAAATTTACTGCCTTCGCTTTATATTGTACTAACTTACCTAGTATAGTTCCTAATATCGCGTCGACTTAGATAATTCATGCAGCGAAATAAATTGCATTATATCAACGATGCATTTTGGGCCGCGAAATCGCCTTATCGTGCATTAAATAAGCTCCAACAGAGCATTAATGTTCGAGTAAACTGTCCCGAAAAGTCTCGGAAAAATTTATAGGACAACATCGGAATTCATTGCCGGAAAAACCGTAAATTTATCCCTTTACCTAATAAAACTAAGAAAAGCCAAGTTTTTGATAACGCAATCAAAATTTTACTACGTTTTAATGACAATGGTCTTTAATGGCTTTTCATAGTTCGAGGCTGTAAAGAAAGATCTAATTCGAGATTATGTTATAGAAATGCCGCAAAGGCGGTTACAGGCACAAAAAAATTAATCTCTCCGGATGAATTCTGTATAACTTTGCATTTTTACGTTCTGTATCGCGCGATAGTATTTGCGGTTAGAGCCAAAATTTCTATATAATAAATTTACTTCAACCAACAAACTCTATCGTATTAATATCGCGTTAAATTCGTTTGTGTATTTGAACGATTTATAAAGATAGAAATTTATGATGTACCATCAGGACTATTAGAAGAATTTATTCGCATAAATTAACCCGCCTTGGTGAGTCTAGCAGCGCGATTTTTCCTTAATTCAAATTCGAATTCATGAAAGCTGAAAACGTATTGTTATGAATAGTTTGTCAATCAGTCGGACAATTTTATTACGGCGATTTACAAGTCAAATTCCCCGCAGATAACTCATTTGAAAAAGGGCGAACGACTCTCTTTCCGTTCCCATTAATATGCTAAAGCCATTATCGGAATCGCCGGATTCGAGCCGCTCCTCCTCGATTAATTATCCTCGATTGTGCTCGAAAGTGCGCCGGAATGCAATATGTATAGGTGTAAAAATGTCGAAAGATGAGCCACGTTCCCAGAAGTATCGGGCATCATTTACTATTAAACACGCCATTACTATTTATCGTCTTCTTCAGGTTTCGTTTATGTTGTTTCGCCCTCATCGAAATCCGTCGATATTTCCATCTCAAACGCCTCGCCATATCCCGGAATTTTATTTTATAAATAAATGATAATTTTTCTATCGATCCAGCGGCGCGCCGTCGCGAAATATACACGGAATAATTATTTATTATGCGACTTATTTAAAACCGATTCCCCCGGCATTTCCTGCTGTACACCAAAAAGGGATCAACGCACGACGATAAGTCGGCATATTTTATTCATTTATCCGTATTTCTTTGATGTTGTTCCATCGCAAAATAATAAACCGGCAAAAATTGGCCCACTTAGCGATAATCCGCGCGAGATCAAAAGGAATTTCACGGCGCATCGGGACCCGAATAATGTATTTTCATTTTTCATGCAGTGGAAATTTCGATATCTTCTACTCAGAGTGATAATTATTTTGAAGGAATTTTGGTTTGGTGGAAAAGGAAAATGTATCTTCAATATGAAAATCTCCCACAATATTCTATATGTACTCATCTAGCATCCTTACCTTGCAGTTTCTCATGAAAAAATGATTTGTAGACTTATTTGAAATGTATAAAAAAACCCTAATGTTTAAATCAACTCAAGCTCGCCCAGCCGGCGAGGCCCCGCTTGGAATACAATCGATGGTTCATAATAAATATTTTTTGTGTGTGTTTTTTTTTACACCTCGGTTATAAGCGATCCCTCGATCCCATTGCGCCTTTAATATCCACAGGATTGACCGGAGCTTAGGTACGGCGAGCGGCAGTAACCGCGGGCGGTAATTTACCGCCCCCGGGAGACCGTCCTTTGACTGCGATAGGAGCCGAACGGCGGCGAGCCCGGGCCGCCCTAAACACTCTGTTAGTAAATATGAGCTATGCTCGGGATGCGCGACAATAAAAATACATTATGGAGAGGGCGATAGGAATTTCGGAGTGCGGTGGTCATCAATCTGGATTTCCGGGAGAAAAAGGGAGGCCGGGAGCGCGGGCATCGACACGTGATTATGTATCATCCGTTGCCGTTTTTAGCGGCGATCAGTGATATTTATCGGTTCTATCGGTGGTCAAGGGTCTTATATATTACTTTCTATTGTACGGGGATGATCTATATTTTTTTGCGGAGGCGAGAACGTTTCTCATCTACTCAAGGTCAATATTTTTCCGGTGGTTTTTTTTTTTTGGTATCCGCGGAAATGAAAAACCGTTTTTCATATATACTGACCGTTTGTCGGCGTATCTGAATTTTCCAATTTAAATAGAGATTGTTTGTTTGGGCGATTTATCGCGCGTATCGTACGCTTTAATAAATAATATGAATTTTTAATTAAAATAATGGGAGATAATGGGAGTTTTTATTCGGCGCGTCAAATAGAATTATACCAATTTCGTCGACGGGGTGGGCCCTTTTACTTCGAATAACTCTCCCCTTTCCTGTTAAAATATTAACGGAGTTATTACGATCTCGAACAGAGTGTTTCGGCGGCGTAATAAGTTATATTATTAAAATATTCGCCTAAACGAGCTCCACCGATTGACACCAATTACTGGCCCGCTGAAATATTAATCGCCTCGCTTTTTACCGAACAATTACGGAAGAATTAGCCCCCTTTCTAACGCCTCGAATTTTATTATTCCCGCGACGGAATCCTATCAGATCCGAATCTAAAAAGTTCACTGAACTAAAATCGACTTTCCGCTTATTCGCATTCCACTCGAATGGACCCATTTAAACTAACGTGTAATTTTCGAAGTGCATGTCGCAGGGCTGTAACATTCCACGGTTATTATTTAGAACAGAAATCCGGGCTAAGTTTCGCGAAAAATCGCC